CATTGCGATGGATCAGAGATTGGACAAGTGGCCGGATCTTCGTACACACTTGCCTGTTCCGTACTCCCAATGGGATGGAACTCAAGCGTTTCGCTTATGCAAGAAGTGTCGGAGCGGATCCTTTGGAATGCCGGTTTCAGTGAGCACTCACAAATAAGACGTGGCTTCGCAGTTCCCGAGGTGCTGACAAGATGTGCTCACCAGTCTGTCGCCGAAGACAGGGCTTTCTGGCAGGTTTATCTTGATAATTATATGGGGGGACAAAAGCGTTTGGTAGGAGAGGACCCGTTGATATGTAAAACCCAACATGACAATGCAGAGACGGCTTGGAAGAAAGTTGGTATCATTTCCTCCCAAAAGAAGAAGGTCGAGTGTGCAGTTGAGATCGAGGAACTGGGCGCACTCATCCATGGTCAGCAAGGCTATTTAGGGGGTTCAAACAAGAGGTTTTGCAAGCTGATCCAAGCCACCTGTTGGGTCCTCTCTCGAAAGGTGTTGGATAGAAAACAGGTCCAGGTCATTGCCAGGCGTTGGGTGCACGTGTTGCAATTCAGACGTCCCGGTATGGGCTTCTTGGATAAGGTTTGGGCATTTGTCAGTTCGAAACACGGGGAGCCGATCGTTCGCTTCATGTCAAACGTGAGCTGTTCATGGTGATGTTGGCTATTCCACTCCTCCATACAACGTTGGGTGCCGGGGTGGACACCTCGTTTTGGTGCAGTGATGCATCAGAAACGGGTGGTGCTACGGCGGTTTCGGAAAGTTTGACAGAGCAAGGGAAAGACTTTCTTATGTCGGCTAGGTTGTCAAGTCGCACGCTTGGTACTGCCCCCATTTTGGTGATTGGACTTTTCTCAGGTATTGGAGGAACTTTTCGAATCTATGACATCCTGGACATTATCCCCCGGGCTTCAATAGCAGTTGACATTCACAAGCCGGCCAACCGAATCGTTAGTAGACGATGGCCGGGGGTTAAGATTCTGCGTGATGTGCGAGAGATTAGCCGTGAGGTTGTTCAGGAGTGGGCCTTGGACTTTCACACGGTCTCGGAAGTTCATCTTTGGGCCGGTTTCCCGCGTAGAGATCTTAGTTCCGCTAGGGCCGGTCGAACCAACCTAGAAGGTCGTGACAGCGGACTATTTTTCGAGTTCATTCGAATTTGGCAGCTGCTTACAGAAGAGTTCGGCGACGTTCAAATCAAGACAGCAGCAGAGAACGTGGCATCAATGGACGAGTTGGCATCAGAAGAGATATCAAGTTGGATGGGAGTACGTCCTTACCACTTGGATAGTCTCGATGCTGTACCAATGCGGCGTCCCCGACTATGTTGGACAAGCGAGCAGGTGGATGGTTGCCTCGATGGAGTTCATTGTACAGAAGAACGAAGATGGTGTCGCGTCACAGCTAAGGCGCCATATCCCCATCTAGGTCAGTGGTTGGAGGAAGGATGTGAGTGGCCAGGAGAGTCACAGGTTGAGGGTTTCCCCACGTGTATGCGCGCTGTTGCAAAAACCTCTCCCCCAAAGTTTCCGGCTGGGTTGGACCGAGCCAACACCGATTGTCAGGATAGGTGGGCTGCTTCAGGGTACATTTACACCCCGTATCAGTTCCGTGACGAATTCTTGATTTGGCGACAAGGCAAGTGGCGTTTGATTGATAGTGAAGAGAGAGGTCTTCTTATGGGCTACGGCTTTGGGCATTGTCAGCTAGCTTGGTCGGCAAGTCAAATTAAGCAGAGTCGGAGGAACTTTGAGCTTGAGAAATGTTCCCTGATAGGAGATGCATTTAGCATTCACTCCTTTGTTGTCATTGGAGCAGCCATCTCACGAGAATTTCTCCCCCGAATCCATTATCAACACTTGGCCAACCGTTTGGGTCTCGCCCCGGGCTTTCGAGCATCACTTAGACTTCAAGCCCCGATCGCGCGGAAGTTGGTGTATGGGTGCCAGAATTTCGTTCATGCCGCCCCAGACCTTACGGTTCAAGAGTTGAACAAGTTCTTCCTAGGCAGAGCAAACTTTACAGGCAGTGATGTCAGAGTGACTAGTGGTGACATTGTCAATCCCAGGTCCTTCCCCAGGCAACCCGTGTGTGCTAACTGGTGGTCATGGACGCCCTGCGTGAAGGTTAAATGGAAACAGTCTCAACACATAAACTTGTTGGAGCTTAAGACCATCCTCCTTTCCGTGCAGAGAGGGATTGAGCGGCACAAGTGGGGCAACATTCGCGTGTTCCACGCCACCGATAGCTACATTTGCATGAGCGTCATTAGCAAAGGAAGAACTTCAAGTCACATGTTGAACAGGTTGCTTCGGGTTCTTAACGCCATGTTGCTTCTCCATGGGATTCATTTGTTGGTGACCCACATTGAGAGCACGGAGAACCCGACCGATGCTGCCAGTCGAAGTTGAAAGCAAGGATGGGAAAGTTTCACCCTAGATTAATTCACAAAACCACCCGCAAAGAACGAAAACAAGCAAGGAAAGGCCTTGACCTGGCCGAAGTTGGGGTCACTGAAAAGACCCGTGCAGGATACCAAGCAGGACTGCGGAAGTTGCTCCCCTTTCTTGCAGATGTTGAGTCCTTCAGACCTTGACACGGCTGTCGCTGAATGGGTCCAGCTGGTGTGGGAGGACGGAGAGTCCTTGTATGTTGTGAGCAATGCTCTTTGTGGCTTGCACTTTTACGAGCCTCTCACTGAACGTTGCATCCCGTCGGCTTGGCGACTATTCGCCACGTGGCGAAAATTAGAATGGCCGGCCAGAGCGCCACCCCTTACTTGTGGAATTGTCTACAGCTTGGCACACTACGGTATTTGCCACCAAGATTTGTTCTTCGCTGCCCTCCTCTGCTTGGGGTTCTTTGGCCTTTTGAGGACTGGAGAAATGTTGGCATTGCGAGGAACAGACGTGCTCATCAATGACACTCAGTTGATTCTGTCGCTAAAGGGCACTAAGAGTGGCAACAAAACCTCAGCCGATGAGACCATCTCTGTGGATGATGCATTTACACGCATGATTGTACAGACGGCCATTGATGTTCTGCAAAGTCGCGCAGCATTAGAGCATAAATTTTGGGAACATTCCGGACAGGCCTTTAGAAACCACTTCGACTTTTACCTTCGTCGCTTCGGCTTGGACGCGCTCCACTTCAGGCCATACTCCCTTCGGAGGGGGGGTGCAACGCACCTCTTTCAGACTACAGGAAGCATGGAAGTCGCGTTGGTCAAAGGCCGTTGGTCGTCCAACAAGGTGGCCCGCGTTTACATTGCGGATGGTCTTAGTAAGCTACCTGGGTTGTTGATGAATCCAGCCACTCGGAATCTGCTTGACTTTTGGGATCCCCGCCGTGAAACAGCGGAAGTGGGCACCGTGGAAGGCGCGCTGCAAAGCGCGGGTGAAAGCTTTTCACCGATGTGTGCTCAGTGGATTTTGGCTGCATGGCCAGTAAAGTTGTGGCTGCAAGGCCAATAGAAAGTGCCTGCATGGGCACGTTGTCACTTGTTTGTATGCCTGCATGGGCAAAGTTTACATACAAATGCCGAGAAGGCATAGAAACCAGGTGAGGCGGAAACGAGTCTCAATGAACGCCTTCGCTGGCTGCGGTAAAAATAGCTTGAGCCCTTTTGGTTCTTTAGAAACATAGGGCGAATGAGTGTTTCTACCGCGTCCTTTCGGCTTAACAGTCTGCTGGGCCACACCCATCCCACCCGGGAAGGCGCGCTGCAAAGCGCGGGTGAAAGCTTTTCACCGATGTGTGCTCAGTGGATTCTGGCTGCATGGCCAGTAAAGTTGTGGCTGCAAGGCCAATAGAAAGTGCCTGCATGGGCACGTTGTCGCTTGTTTGTATGCCTGCATGGGCAAAGTTTACATACAAATGCCGAGAAGGCATAGAAACCAGGTGAGGCTGAAACGAGTCTCAATGAACGCCTTCACTGGCTGCGGTAAAAATAGCTTGAGCCCTATACATAAGGAAAGAAAGGAATAAATAAATAAAGAAAGACAGACAGACAGACAGCCAGCCAGCCAGCCAGCCAGGCAGGCAGGCAGGCAGGCACCCAGACAGACAGACAGACAGAAAGACAGACAGAAAGACAGACAGAAAGACAGAAAGAAAGAAAACAGGGAAAGAAAGGACAAGAAAGGACAAGAAAGGAAACGAAAGGAAACGAAAGGGAAAGAAAGGAACAGAAAGGAAAAGAAAGGAACAGAAAGGAAAAGAAAGGAAAAGAAAGGAGAAGAAAAGAAAAGAACAGAAAAGAAAAGAAAACAAAAAGAAACAAAAGAAAAGAACCAAAAAATACAGGAAAAAAGAAAGACAAGAAAGAACGAACGAACGAACGAACCACCACTACTGCCACTACCAATACCACTACCACTACCACTACTACCACTACTACTCCCCCTCTACTACTTGCTGCTGCCAACCTCTGCCAGTTTCGGAGCCCACGCATGTTAGTGACCGAGCCCAGCCCCACTCCCCACTACAGCCCCGCAATTTGCGTGGAAGCTTCTGCACTACAACTGCCATGACCACCACCACCACTACTACTCCTCCTCCTGCTCCTCCTGCTGCTGCTGTTGCTGCTGCTGCTTTTACAAGTGCTATTTCTACTTTTGCTTCTTCTTCGGCTTCTACTCCCGCTGCTGCCCCTGCTACTACAACTATTACTACTGCTACTGCTGCTGTTCCAAGTGCTATTTCTACTTCTGCTTCTTCTTCTTCTTCTTCTTATGCTTCTACTCCCGCTGCTGCTGCTCCTGCTTAACGCTGTTTCTGAATCTTCCAAGAGACTCTCAAGACCCACATTTGCGGCCTTCATCCTCTAAAGACAGTGGGATGGACAAGATACAAAAGCCGCAGCGTTCAGATACGTGTGGCAGCGTTCACATACAGAATATAACTATATACGTAATCACTGATATATTGTGATATATATATATATAGATCACAAGTGTATACAACTGTTACATTCACAGGGTGTCCGAGCTGCCGCGAAGGCTCACGAGTTCAACGAGGCAGAGGCCGAGTGTGAAACTGCACTCTAACGGTTTCTGTGGAAGTGAAGAGCAGCTCTTCCTGTAATAAGAAAAATATGAAAATTGCTGTTATTTGTTGATTAGGCTCTTGTCATGGTCGGTCCACCCCCTATATCAGAGATGCTGCCCCTTGTGTCGTGATTCAAGCTATGGGGCGGGTTAAGACGGTTAGGATTGCGGATTGGAATGGTTTTTGGTGGTTGCGGATTGCCAGGACTGCAGATTCATTGTGCGAGTTTACAGTTTACAGATTGATAACGATGACCTTCCCCATCACCCACTTCCACGTCTGTCAGCATTTCTGAACGCATTCATTCATATGCATTCATACATGCGTGTGGTGTATATATACTGCACATATCATATATATATATTTAGATACACACACACACACACCACGCGTATTTGCCCATATTTGTCTAAGGAAAGGGGTGGCATGTGTGGATTCGCTGCCGGTGTTTGTAGGTTTCCTTGATGCCACCATTTGAGAAGTTACTTTTTTTTACTGTGAACATGCACCCTCCGGCCTGGAAACCGATTCCTCCGCATAAACCGGCTGTCGCAGGCTCAAAGACATAGGGAGATATTGGCAGCAGCTGTGGCAGGTGCATTGCCGGGCAGGGAAATGAACTGGGCATTTGCTGGCTCAGTCTTATCATGAAGGGTAGCTGTTGTGACAACACTTCACGGCTTAGCTGGTCGCGGTATCTCGGGTCACCACAGGACTTGCGATGGCATGCGATGCATCGTAGCCTTCCAGCTCTTGTATTTCTAGAATGTCGGCGTCAAGATCTTACAAGATTGGTTTGTGGGCAGCCCCCGCCTAGGCATTTGCAAGGGTCCCATTCTCTTACACCCAGCCGCTGCCAGGGGTGATCTTGATCCTCCTTAAGTCTGCACGCCGCTTTTCTTCGGAAGACTTTGCCTTTCTCTCACAGCTGCTGGCAGAATCCAACGGCCACTGAGCTGCAGCATGGGAAGAGGAGTGAAGTCCAGAACGCTGAGACTCTGAAAGGTCCCATCACATGACCAAGCAACGCATAAGCTGTGCTCACTCTGTTACGGAGACCATGTTAGGTGTGGCGTATGTCAAACATGGACCACCCCAAGCACTTGTAATTACACAGGCGTCAAAGCAGCAAAAGCATAGCCTAGCAGCCTTCACATGTGGAAATGCTATGCAGCAAGGTGCTTTGGTGGTGCTAAAGTACTTGAACCAGAATCCAGACGTGTGCTCGGGCCAGGCTCACTGCAATGGACGAGCACCTACGTAGATGACATTCTGTCATTTCTGTCCAACAAAAAGACTTGGTAGACTTGGATCGTCGAGGAAGACCATGTAATGTAGCATGCTGTTCATGAAGCTCGGTCGGATTAAGGGCACCCACTGCTAAAGCCCCCAACGGGGGTGTGAGATGAGCAGCAGGAAACAAGCACCATTCGGATTGATAATTGGTCAGTCAGTCTGTAGCGTTGGAACCGCGTATGCAGGCCACCCGCACCAAAAATAACTATATATATATATATGGATTTTTTCAGTGAGGTTATTGATGCATATTGCCTCTTATTGGTGTGGAGCGGTGAATTCTGACATCACTGGTGCTTGTCTAGGACACCAGCGGAGAGCCACTTCCACCAGCCCCTTGGCTTGTAGAGCCCAAAGACTCTGCATGCGCAGGCAGGCCAAAGACGTGGTTTCCTACAAGATCTTACCAGCTTTTTCATGCTACCACCGATTTTGAAAGCTTGCCCCCGGCCTCAGCTTTGAGGTGTTACCATGCCTTCAAGCTGCAAGCGCTGCTGGTCCGCTGCTTGTTCTTCGTCACCAGGGGTTGCGTGCAGCTGTGAGGCTATATAAATCCGTGTTGAATGCTGTTCTGTCTTGTCTAGAAGGGAACACTGGCGGAACTGCTTTCATAACTCCTGACATCTCAGCCCATTAATTGAAGCGCTCACATGTGACTAGATCCGCCTGCTCCTGCTCCCATGGAGTCATTTCAGGTCGACGCTTGCCCCTGTCCTCATGCTTTTGGCAGGCATAGTTCATGGGATATGATCTGCATTCTGAAGATTGTCAAAACCTCTTCCCGCCTTGCAGTGAACAGTCTGACTATGTTGTCAGCCCGGGGCATGAGATCAACAGACACCTTGCCAGATCTTGCCAGCTTGGCCAAGGGATGACTCCTGCAACGTGGCTGAGTCATGTATATGTCTGTATATATGTATATATAACTAATACAATTACTCGTATTATTAGCATATGCACACATATAATATATATAGGTGCCTTTGGTGCTTAGGGCAGGCTTGGTGTAGGCTAATCATTCAGCACATGGTCTTTGCGCAAGTTAAATGGTTACATTTTGGCTCAAGGCTAGCTTTAGCCAAAATAGCTTTGTGGAGTGAAACTCTAAGAGAGAACCTCTCTGCTCAGCTTTTGTGATCCTGGTCATGGATGACCTTCCAGTGGTGCAGGTTTGGCGTGAGATAAATGGAGTCACTGATGATGGTGATTTTGCCTTTTTTTCAGTTCATTCGAAGAGGCCAAGCAGGAGGTGGGCGACCTCATTGCCACTGCATGGCAACATGCTCGGCAGCAGGCCGAGCAAGGTTGTCCAAGCCATGTTGGCTCGCGAGGAGAAACCAAGCCTGCCGGCCCTTCAGGTGAGGCAACCTGCACCATCTATTGAGGTGAAGCCAAGTTCAGCACCGCGTGTTGCGCGGCAGGTGGAGAAACCACCAACTCCGAAGGAGCCGTTCCGCCAGTCGTTACAGGAGATTGCGGTGAATGCCAGTTGGTTCAAGCCTGGCCAAGGTGAGACCCAAGATGATGTTGTCCGGGCTATGCAGCCCATGCTTACGTCGTTGTTGGAACAGACTGAGGTTCCCACTCTGAAGCGGGTGGTGGCTACCTGAGCCGAGTTGGCCAACTGGGGCGAATCCCTCGGTATCAACAACATGCGGTACATTTCCGCCAGCAGTGGAAGGCTTCTTCCCGTGTCCTCCCAGCCATGCAATGGATGCGCAACAACCTGCGCGTGCCATGGGACCCTTTCGCTGTGCGTGGGGCGCTCCGCGGTGGCGAAGGGGAGACATGGTGTTGGGGCCCGGCAAGCGCCCACTGCTGAGCCGGCTATGTTGTGGGCTGTGGGCCCTTTTGGATGCAGTTGCGCATGCCACTCAGAACGATAAAGCAGCCGCGTCAGCGCTGGTGTGGTGACCTATCTTCAAGTCTTTGGTTGCCTCCGTCTCGAGCATGTGCAACGCTCGAAGGTGCTGAAGGCTAACAGCCACTCTGTTTACTTTTTGTGCCCGAGGGGCAAGCAGAAGGGGCAGAGGAATGGATTCCTGTGGGCAGCTCCCCGCCGATGCGTTGTGTTCCATTTGGACATTGGGCCATGGCTGAAACGTCATTTTGTCGACAAGACTGCCGAGGCCATCGCGAAGAAGCTGCGAGCGAAGTCCATTCTGGATACGGTGCGCCTGGCGATTCGGGGGGTGGTCCCTGATGAGGAGCTCTCTATGCTGTCCAGCAAATCCTGGAGGCTGATGTCGATCACATGGGCTACATTGGCTGAGGTGCCCCCAGCCACTACTGTGGCCTTGGGGAACTGGGTGGACTTGCTCAGCGCAGCCAGATGCCGTTGCGCTACACTGGGGCCAAGCAGTTCCTGGCGCTGCAGACGAAACACGCTTTCATGCTCCAGCTGTCCGACAAGGTTCTCAAGTGGGACGATCTTGGGCACAACCTTATACGTCACTACCCGTGAGAGGAGCTTCGATCGAGCCTCCACTGTCCTGCAGGCAACTGAGGCAGTCTTTTTCACTGCCTCGCAGGCGGAAGAGAGTCACTTTCAGAAGGCGAATTCGTTGACGCAAAGATTTTTCACGATTCGAGGTCGAAGCTTCAAGGGCTGTCGAAGAAGCAGCGCGAAGTCCAGGCTGCGGAGAACCCGCCAGCTGACGCAGAAAGCGCCGGTGTTGCCGTGGGGAGCCCACCGCCTGACGACATGGATGTCGCTGATGAGGAGGCAGAAGAGATTCTGTTCCTCCCAGTTGAAGAGCCGGTGTTGGAGCCAGGCGATGACGCTTACTTTGATGAACTCGCCTCCAAGACATGGAGGAGGCCTGCCATGGAGATCGCCCCGAGCTGGCCGACTGTGGTCTACAGGCACAACCTTTCTGGGAGTGGCCCGTTATCCTGCTTGGGGGAATCCCAGATGATGCAGCATGTGATGTGTTGAAGAGCCATAATGTTCAGTTGGTCGTCACTTGCTACAAACAGGCAGCAGTAACGAAAGGGGCAAAGTTTCCCTCTGGCCGCTGTGTCTGATGAGAGGCACCACAACCAGCATTGGAACCAGCTCAGGCCTCTGGTGAGGCCAACCCTGGAACATGGAGGCTCCATCTATATCCATTGTATGGCTGAGTCCATGAAGCACTTGGCCTCCGTCAGAGCCATTGAGTCCCACAAGATGTTGGGCGATCGTTACAGGAAGTTCACCAAGTGGGTGCATGACCGTGCTGAAGGTGAGACCTTTCCCGAGAACTCCGCGGGGATTCCGCTGAGGTTCATTTCAGCTGAGGCCGACAAGTCCTTGTGGCACGTGGTGCCCGTAGATTTCAACTCAGATGCGCCCAAGCCCGTTTGTCAGTGGAAGAAACGGGGTAGTTTCTTTAAGAGCAATGTCTGCTTTGCGGACTCGGTGCAAGAGGCGCTAGTGCACGAGAGGCCCTTTTGCCGAAATTGCGCACAATTCATGCCTGCAGGAGCACTCGGCATTTTGGAAGAGTCAGCTGTTGCCTCGCGCACGCCGCTGACCGTCCCGTCGCCCGAGGAAAACAGGAGCGATTTCCAGATGTTCTGATCGTGCGATTCCAGCTTGATGTTACTTTTCTGTACTTAGCGCTCAGCATTCAAGATGGCTGGCCCTACTGCCATGTCGATCCAGCGGCTGCTGTTGTTGCAGTACCCCATTCGCGAAGCACCTTTTCCCCCATCCTTGTGGATTATGTTTGGCCAGATCAGCCTACTGCACGAGTTTGTCGACTCTTTCCCAGTCGAAGTCCACCGGTTGGGACCCACATGGATGGTCTTCCTTTCTGAGCTGAAAGGTAGCATGTGGGAGATGCTGAATGGGTTCTCTGTTGGGCGGCGTCTGGTTCACGATGCGCCACCCCCGCTACCTGACCCCGCTGCTTTTTTGGTGGAGGTCACCGATTGCCAACGTGAGGCAGCCAACTGCCAGCAGTAACAGTACTTGGTTGCCTGGCCTTGCGATGTCAGGGTTGCAATTCCAAGCAGCGCTGGGGGGCGCCGTGGAGGCTTGTGGTAGCCTGTTTGCGGCACTACCGGAGGTTGAGCTGCTCGATGAACTGGGTGGGTACCTAGGTAGGGTAGATTCCGGCATAGTGCAGGTGCAATTCACAGGGTATGCGGCCCCTGAGGTCCTGGGATGCTGGGACCGACCTTGGTGAGTTTTGCCAGGTATGAAAAGTCTGGCGGAGAAGCCACATCAGGCCGGAAGGGTCCGCGGCGATGGCTGAATGCCAATCACAGACTGAAAGCCCTGAGGGCTGTTAGCTTTTTCAGTGAATGTCAATTTTGCAGTCATTACTCGAGTTGAGCAGATCTCATTGCCCGTCAGCCTCCTTTGTGTCAAGCTTTCTGCAGTGTAATACTTGCTTTCAGCAGCAGCCATGTCGACTCCTGAAGCTGTTTTCAAGGAGCTCCAGGATAGGTTCGACTATATGATGAGTCGATCGCGAAGGAGATTCTTGTTTCCGGTGTGAAGTCACTTTCCGAGTTTCGTTTTTTACTATTCGAATGAAGAGGATGTGGTGAAAACCTTTGTCACCCCGATTGCCGGGTTGGACAAGCCGCGGCAAGCTGCGCGTGTGAAGCGCGCCTGGTCATCCATTGCGCAGGCCGAGAAAGCTCGTGATGCGAGCCATTGGCCGAACAGCAGCCCAGTGACAAGCTGCTGAGCAAGCTGGGCCGAGCGTTGCAGAAGAAGAACCTGGAGGTGATGAACATGTTCCAGGTGCGGACCTTGGCCAATCAGCGAGTCGCTACCTCCGGTCCAAGCGACGGAAGGTTGCGCCCATGGTTTGCCGCCGATGAAGAGCAGGCTGCGCAGGAGGATTGTGCATCCTACCTGGAATGCCTGTTTGTCTACATGGTCGCGTTGTATGTCGAGTTCCCATTGGACCTGGCCTGGAAGTACCAGTTTCGAGCCATGGAGGCCAGCAAGAAGATTGGTGAGCGCATGAAGCTCCCGCACATCTCCTCTTTGGACCGGAGCGAGAGGGCGGCTTGGTGCCAGAAGTATTCCACCGGCACTGAGAAGCTTGGAGCGATTGTCTATCGCATCTTCATGGAGAGGGATGTGCATTGGTCAGCGGTGACCATGTACCCCCAGGGCTCAGCGGCCAGTGGGCCGCCGCCTGAGCCAACAGGCACTCCGGCACTGCCTGAGGAGGTGACAAGAAGGCTGGGAAGCTTTCGGCCACTTTCCGCGATGGAACAAACCTATATGGCCCGTGGCAGCATGGACGCTGTGATCGGCAACGTGAGGCCCGATGCCCGAATGGTGAGCACCGTTGTGCGCGCAAGCTGAGGAGCGGGCGCATCTGTGGGGATCCGTATCACCCAGGGAGCAGATGCAATAACAAGAACAAGCTCTGAGGGGAGGATCGTGTAGTTTCACACCCGGAGAATCCGGACCCTTCCAGCACATCAGGCGCTTTGGAAGAATTCCATCAGCATGTTGCCGCTGTCCAGAATGGATGGTCTCAGGTTGAGACAACGGATGATGATCAGCCTCAGGTCCATGTCTTTTTGGATTTGCAGTCCGGACCGCATTCCCGTTAGCACAGGCGTTTGAGTGGGCTGGTTGGAAAATTGTTCAACCCATTGACATTCTCATTGACCGTGAATTTGATCTAGTCAAGCCTTCTGTACAGGAAGCCATCAACGCAGTACTGCCTCACTGCCACCTTGTGAGTGCGGCAATCGATTGTTCCACCAAGAGTCGAATTCGTGAAATCAAGCTGCCACAAACGAATGCTCCGAAGCCTCTGCGAACCGAGAAGTTTCCTTGGGGACTGCCCACCCTGACAGGTGCCAGCAAGGACTGGGTGGAGAAAGACAATAGAGTCAGTGACTACCTGTTGGCGATCCAACACGTGATCAACCTGCATGAGCGCAATTCTTTTCGGGAGAATCCCAGGAGGAGTCTTCACTGGGCTTGACCCAGTGGAAGTTCATAGCGCCAAGATGGCTGTTGGTCTGATTTTTACAACGACAACTTTTGCTTTCTAGCTGCCAGGAAGAAAGCTCAAACCATCCGTCACAACATTCCCGAGCTGAGGTCGTTGCCCAATTTGGTGTGCGCCCACATGCACAACGAAGATGATTGGGGACCATACAGCTTGGAGGGGAGGACTGAGTACCCCAGCACCGAAGAAGCAGAGTATCCTGCTGCCCTCGTTTTCACACTCGCTGTTGCATGTACCTTTTGGGCAGCCAACCAAGGATACGCAATTATCAAGATCCCCCGTTTGCCCCCGTTGAATGCTCAGGTGATCGCAGGCATTGGACGGCCTGGGAGGCCTCCACCTTTCGGCAGGATGCCATGGTCCCGATGGCCATTTCACTAGGCACATCCAGTGCCCCCGGCATGCCAGTGCGAGGTCATGTCTCCGACTTCTTCGAGCGGAACACCGGGCTCCAGTCAGGAGCTGTCTACGCCGGGCACGGGCACAGTCCCACCAAGTGGGAGAATCGATTTGTGGAGGGGCGAGATGGGACTCATGTTGACATCATTTTCAAGTACATTATGACTTGGGATAGTTTGCAGCTTGATGGAGCTCTTGATGAGCTCACTGGCGAGACCATAGTCTGTGACTGTCCAGCCAACTCATTTTGTCATGTGGATGTTATCATTGCCAAATATTTGATCGGCCGCAACGTCCACGAAAGTCTCGCAGGTCTTCGAGTACCCCGTCCAGATCATGCTAGCAGGGATCCGGCTGGTACGAGCAGTTCCTCAAGTTTTCAGCCAAGCTTCCGCCATGTCGGCAATCAAGAGTCAGTTCCCTATGTTGGATTTCCAAGGAGTCAAATGGCCGTTGTTAGAAGACCTGAACTGTCCAGCCTTTCTTTCCTTCCACCAGTGGGCTCATGAAAGAAACTACGCCGCCGACGGTCCCAGTGGCCCCACAATGCTCCCCACCGCAGGTGTGGTTGCCTTTCGGGCAGGCATGGCTGAGCAAGCAGGAGCAGGCGCACGGCGGACAGTGGCAGCGCCAGTTGTACCCTACAACCTGACGCCTGAGGAGCATTTTGCTGCTGCGCTGCAGGTGCAGATCGGGGGGGGGCTCCTTGGACTTTCCATCACCAGTCGACGTGGACATCGCTTACGTGGCCAACCTGATGGCTAATTTCAGGCGTGAACTTACCGGTTTTCGGCAAGACGCTCTAGATTGTTTTCTAGGACTTTGTGCTCGCTTGGAAGGAGTCATACGTTACATTCGTGCAAGTCAGACTTCGGTCCTAGCGGCCGTGAACCCTAGAGTACATTTCGCTGTGATTTGGCTTTTCATCGCCATTATGCAGTGGCCAGATACATCCTTTTGTGCCGGATTGCACAGCGGTTTCCCAGCAGTTGGCTATCTCCTGCCCTCTGGAATTTGAGCATCCCAAGCTGCTGAGTTTGCATCTTTGCAAGATGTGCTGCGCGAGGGTCCTTCGGAAGCATCAGCTCTCATCGCCGGTTTGTCCGACAAGGAGTTGGAGGTAGTCCATGAAGCTGGAGCGCAATAACTGGTGTACTGAGGATTTTGGCTGGAAGGAACTGCAGAGGCGATTTCCTGAGTACAGGCTGCTGCGGCGTTTCGTCATCACGCAAGCTTCTGGTAAGAAGAGGGTCATAGATGACGCAGCAAGTGGGGGGCAGAGCTTTTGGAGCCGTGATGCTAACCGGCTACAGTTTTGGAGTGCCTTGCAACCTTGCGCCCACATTCAAGCCTTAGCGCAAGCCTATGCTTATCAAGGCATGGAGAAGTTGCCGCTGCCAGTATCTGCCAGTGGTCCTGTGGCGAAGATCTCCCGGATGCATATCGCAAGATTCCAATGTTGGAAGAGCACAGCTGTGCCTGCATCGTAGTGTACCAATCCACTCAAGGTCGACCAGTCTTCCGGCAGCACCACTCGATGCTCTTTGGGTTACCCCTAGCAGTCACAGCCTTTAATAGAGTGCCATTCTTTTGTCAAGCACTGTTGCGTCGCATGCTAGGACTAATGGCCAGCTTTTACTACGATGACTGTACGCTGCAGGACTGGGAGCCCACAGCCATTCATGCACAGAGTGTCATGGGGCAGGTGTTGGAACACCTAGGTTTTCCCTTCGCAGCGACTTGTCGATAGCCCATTCAGCTGGCCGGATCCAGCTTTGGATTAGATCTAGGCTGCAAGACAAGATTCAGGATTTTATCCGGACGGCGCGTCGGGGCCGCCTGCTCCACCCAGGTACAGCGGCGAAGCTGTTCGGTTTTGTGACAGTCTTTGGCAAAGTGGCCCGAGCAGGGCTGAACGCCATCAAAGATCGGCAACACCTCGACACTTCAGTAGAGCTGACAACCCACCTTGAGGTAGCGTTCGGCGTTATCGAGACTATCTTGTCGTTACGACCCAGGAGGACAGTGTCCCTTTTCCCCTCTTCAGAGCCACGCATGATTGCAGCCTCTGATGCAGCCCATGAGTTGGGCAAAGGGTCAGGTGGGTTTCTGTTCAGTGATACCTTCTTTTGTCGCAGAGGAGCTGTAGTGAAGATCGATGCTAAAGTCCTTCAGTTTTGAATTTGGCAAGCCAAGGATTTTGTCATTGCGCAACTAGAGTTGTTGATGGTCTTCCAAGCCTTGATTTGTTTTCCAGACTCCTTTAAGCGCACCACATGCTTATGGTGGATAGACAACATCGCATCATTGATGTCATTGGTGAGAGGCCGATCTGATTCGCCGGACCTGGATCGGCTGGCGCAGATGATTCACATGTTATTGTTCAGTCTGCATTGCAGCATGTGGTTTGAATGGGTTCAGTCAAAGTACAACTGGACAGACGGTTTATCTAGAGAAGGCTTCGCAGATCCGTTCATTCGGCACTTTGGTTTCACTTGTCATCAAGTTGCAATCCCACACCTGCTTTGGCAGCTTCCGCTCCTTCCCCTTAGTGTCGTCTTCAGCTTTCTTTAAGTGCATTGGGGATTAGTGCCTTGGGTGCGCACGTGAAACGTGAGGAAGATCCTACACCTGAGAATCAGGTCCATGCTGATGCATGGATACCAATGCAATTGGCAGAAAGCCTTTGACTGGAGTGCAAGCGAAAGGAAAAGGGAGCGTAGTGCAAGCCATTGACTGAATGTATATGATACATATCGAAGGAGATCCGCTGCCGTTGCCTTTGCCAGCTGAATCTCTAAGGCTCTAAAGGCGCAAAGCGAAGTAGAACCAAACCATTGGAAACGTGAGCTATCCTGCGTCCAGTTACTAAAAGCATCCCCATCCCCATTTCCACTACGAAATGGGTGGCCTTAAGGCCCATATAAAATGGTTGGCAGGGGTCATTTTGTAAGAAATCAATTTCAAGCACCCGGGCATCTTGTAAGAATGAACCCAGGACTCATTTTGTAGTTGCATCTTCCAAAAGTCAGAAGCCATTTTGTAAGGAAATCAAGTCAGAGTTAACATTGAAGGGGTTACAGCCCCTCATTCTGTAGTTGCATCGCCAATATCCAAAAGGCATTTTGTAGGAAGGTTATGATGTGAACAATGGGTTCTCAAATTTGTGTCCAGGTTGCACCTGCTCTTTTTGTAAGAGGCTTGCAACTGTTTCCCAGAGTCATTTTGTAAGGAACTAGAGCCCCGTGACCTTCAAACAGACTTGAGATGTGATTGTACTACAGTCTACCCAAAAATATCTGTCGCTCTTTGGCTTCAACGGTGCCTCGAAACAGAAAGCCACTCTTGAGAAGACTGAGAGGATTGAGAAGTGGCCCGATGTAGTTTTCTTCTGCAAGAGAGCAACATGCTTTCATGTGGATGCTGAATGTCAACCAGCGTCCAAAGCATATCCTATATGCACACGCTGCTCCAAAAAGCAACGTTGATCCCTACATATAAGAGGGTTTGAACTGAACAGAACGACTGGCAGAGCTGTGAAAAAGTCCCAGCAGCATGTTTTGCTATGTCCTTACAAAATGAGTCTTTGGTTTTTGACATCTTGAGGCCAGAGATCCGCTTTGAACAGTGAATTTCATATAAAACATCGGGGCTTGACCCCTGCAGAATGTCTAACCTTGAGATGGGCAGCTTCCCGGGGATTGGTGCTTAGACCGGTGAGTTTGTACAGCCTACTTTTTGACACCCCTACTCATTTTGTAGGGGGGGGGTACACCCCGCAGGTTTATACCTACAAAATGGGGCCTTGACCCCTTAGGGGTAATTGTAAAGGGGATCTAAAAGCTATTTTAGCCTAGTAGCTTACTGCCTTACTTAATCAAGTAGGAGCAAGCCTGCCAAGAAAACGTTTTTGTTTGAAGGAGCCCGAATAGACCTGGAAGGCCCCCCCCCCCACTGTTCTTCTGTTGCACTTGTTGATTCGCGGAGGCCTGCGGGACTCTGCGTTTGGTGGAGGTGCTGTATTTAGTTTGCCGAGACTGCCTGGTAGCCCGGAGCGCCCTTCGGCAGTTCCAGTTTGTTACTCCACAGCAAGTGGTGCTGTGATGGGCCTTGCAGGATTCCAAGGTGCTGCGCGGGGGCTCGGCTCAGGCCCAGAGCGAGTTCGTAAATACCTCATCCACTATCGGGCGCCCTTTATCTTGAAGCGTGTGGACACCCAGGCTTCAAAAGTGCTGAACTAGTGCGATCGCTTTGGTCAATTCCCTTTTGTGATCATTGTGGTTCTTCTGTCTTCGATGGATGTCCTTCACCATTCGTTTCTTTTTCTTCTTCTCCTTCTTCGTCCCACCAGACTCGAGTATATGACAACATAGTAGTGCTTTCTGAGGTCTCAATCGAGTGGAGAGCCCTCATGCTCAACGGTTGGTGCTAAAGCTGCTGAAAAAGCAGGTGAGATATTTGCCACGCCACTAGGCTGCAGCATCCAGTCTAGTTGCAAGTGTGGGCTGCAGATGGCACAGCGCAAGAGTCAAGATCGTGCCAGATTTAGGCCAGCCAGCCAGAGAACGTGTCTCCCGCAAAAGCTTTTGATAGCCTTTAGCCTTCATATGGATTTTCCAACCGTTGGCGATTAGACCAGTCAGGTATCAGCTTTACAGCTTGGGTCAGCAAGTGGTTGGCTCTCTTTGGTTAGCTTCATCTGATTTTCTCTTTGGGATTGCGTTCTTTGGGTTGTTCCATGTTGTTCCGGTTCACATTTTGAGGGGGTGTTCTCAGCCGCATGAATGTTTGGAAGGGTTTTGCAATCCAAGTTGGTTCGTAAGTTGGCCTGGCTGAGGCAAATGGAAGCAGGCCAACATGAAAGCAATCAGTGCAATGTATTTGCAGGTGAGGGGTCAGCTGCCTTCGGAATGAGTTCTTTCAAGGTCTGCTAACAAGGTAACGGCTAACAAGTCCTGACCTGTCCCTCAGATATGGCCCAAGTGCCTTTACGAGAAGAAGCTCGTTTGGCCCGTGCTTCAAATGGGCCACCAAACAGAGCTCTTCCCATAGCTCAGAAACCCAGCATACCCTGGCAGTTTCTTGTGCGCTTCCGCAAGGTCACGATGTCTCCGTTGGAAGACTGGCTGCTAAACGAAAACTTGGCAGAACAAAGTGCATACCTTAGTCGGGGATTTGTGTATACTATATACTGTATTTATTATTCATTACTATTTCTTCCATGTTTGACGTGTGCAAGGTTGATCAAGGTTGCATCATCATGGCGTGTCACGTGCAAACGAGCCTGTGCCAAGGCATGGAAGGTCCTTCCGCCAAGGCCCTCGAATCATTGGTCGTGATTTCAGAGAGCAGGAACTGCATCATTGTCCCGAGACTCAAAACTTTTAGGGCCGTGCAGTCTGCCCAAACCGGCCATGGGCCAACACCGCTGTCGCAGGAGCTTGCGGCCAGCATGGCCCGTGAGATGAACCAGTCTGCAGACGGGGTGGGGTGGGAGGGGTAGCCGCGCAGGATCCCGCGCGTAGACCAGCAAGGGAGTTTCTGAGTGCTTCAGACATTGATCTTGGACGTTGGAAAGGTCAATCCTGGAGTTTCTGGCTGCACACCGTCGACCACAAACGTATTGATTGAATGCGACCATGCAAGGTAGCTACAGGTGAGCTTACGGCATACAAGTGTATAGTGCGTCAGTTTCGCTGTCATCCTTTGCTACACTCTCGAGCTTTACTGAAGCCACATGTCTTCCATCCTTTGCCAGTCTGCCCGGCAAATCTTTGACGATCCACCTCCTTCCTCAGAAGAAGGCTTAGGTTATGTGTCGCGCCCCAAGTTCTACACTGAATCTTCTGATTGAAACAGGTGTTGATTTTCGCCGGCGACATGGAGTGTGCAGGCAATATCTTCCAGAGTGATTGCAATGACATCCGCAGGTAATAAGGTGTGCACATGCACCCGATGCGCAACCACTCTACTCCATGCAATTTATAACGGGCATCACCGGGCATCACAGCCCTCATGGACACAGTTATTGCCAATCCAGGATGCAACTCTTGAAGTGTGATTGGCTGACATGAACCACGGTGGGGGAAGGTAAGAGCACCACGACCTTGCCCGAGGCACGCATTTCCTGAGTATGATCCGAGAAGGTGAGTGTCAGCGCTGAAAAAGGATATTTGGCGTATTTGGGTGGTTTTAGGGAGTCTTTAGCATGCCTTTAGCCAATTGATTCTTTCATCGAACCTTCCTGACATGAGCCACAACATCATATACCATCGCCACCCCCCCGCTAATCTCCCAGTCTCGGAATCTTGGAACCGAGACGCTGCAATGATTCAAAGTCCATGACCCCAGAACCTTTGGCCAAATGCTAAACAGATGCTTTCAAAAGACAGCAGCCAATGCAAGATTAACCGCGACAGATAATATGACAAGCTGTAATTCTAAATTTATAAATAGTGACGCTGAGCATTTGTTATGTTTGTGTTCACATGTGCGGGTATGGACGCCCTCTCGCTCTAACGGACTCAGATCCAGATCCACATATCTCCATGTGGCGGCCATCCTCCATGAAATATTGAGGTAGGACGAGATGCCTTGGAGCACTAGTCCAAGCCACATTCAACGCCTCTTCAGCAAACAGATGTAGATCGGAGACACATGCAGAGCCATGGAGGAGGACTCAGTGGAGAAGCTGCGCAAAGAGCTGGTAGAGGTACGAGAGCAGATCCGAGAAGCTTGTCCTGCACACAGACGACGTAGCTGTACATGAAAGCTTGGTTGCAAAGTAACACCGTTTGAGGCAGAGTGATGGCACAGATATGCGCAGATTGGGCACATGCCTGGAGAAGTTGCCATGTGTGTGCTTCTTTACGTATATACCTATAATATATATATATATACATGCAGTAAGCTTTGTTGGATGCCATCGGTTCCAAAGGGCCCAAGCATTTCGACTGCGATGCTGATTTGAATGCACACTTTACAGGTGCAAGGCACTCCGACAGACATATGCAAGTATATACAGAGACAACATCAATGTAGTTTTACGAGTGCACTCCAACTACACATTATCGTGCCCAGACCTTGCACACCACTGCCCTTTATCAGAGGAACTACTTGAGAAGCAGACCAAATTGGAGCAGAGATTGGAGGCCAAGCCTGGGCACACCTCTCACAGTTTGAAGGTCAACGGAATGACAGCACTCTTCTGAAAAGTTCTTGCTTGGCTCGGCTTTGCATTCATGAAATGTGTTTGAAGCAGCAGAATGTTGGAGAGCGAACGCTGGTTATATAGTTCTTATTGATTCTCCTGTTGACATGGTGAATAGGTAGGGAAGCTAGGGTTACAAAGTGCAAAACACCATTTTGACAGGCTTTGGCAAAGAAGGATGGAGAGGTGGCACTGTCAGAGCTGGCTTCCGTCCAATCTGCAACGCCTGCGAACATTGCCCATGCTCATCCGGAGCCAGAGCTGGCAGAGCCCCTGTCGAAAAGGCTCCTTGCTAGCTTTTGAGGATACCGATAAAACAGGCAGGGCCGCGGGGCACAGGCACAGGAGAAAAAGATGACTCCTGCAGGACGTTTGTCCCCTTAGCATGTGCAGTTTTGCATCCAAGGCTTGATGTGGCACTTCGGGGTGATGTGGAACGTGGGAAGCTGAGAAAGCCCACCATAGTGGAGGATGTCGAGGAGATCCATGACAGAGACTTAGTTTGCAATCTCACAGGTTTGTAACTGACGTGATGCTTCTTCTCATCCAGCTCTGTCTTGATGAGATCGGTTCCCTTCTTCCAGCCTCACCCATTTGTCAAAGCCGACGAAGAGAGGGGAGTGTCATTTGCTGCCATAAATGAGTCAACAATGTCGTGAACATTGAGCATTCACTTTTGGTTTCCCTCATGAGCGCAGCGCAGTTGCGCGTCGCTTTTGCGGTGGAAGTAAATTGCTTGGGTTTGCGCATCCCATCTCTCACCGAGGACAACCTTCGCGCAGCACACCTAGCACGGCTCCAGGTGTGCACTATGTTGTAAGCCTTGCGGCGTCAGTCACTTCTTGGGATGCATTGAGTGCCTTGGAGCAGAGTTTGAGACACTCAGACTTGCCGGTCATGATTAAAAAATCAAGAAGGCCTCCGCAGAAAGGTTGCATCATCCCCGGTGTCTTGCTTCAATAGCAGAACCCATGGCTGCCTTTGACCCTTGACCAGCTCTTGCAGATCCCAAGCTGCAAGCAAGCTCTTGCCAAGCTTTGCTTCATCGTGTTTCATTTCTCTCATGGCTGACGGCCTCCTGAACCTAGCTGAGCGAGGGATGGAATTCAATGTCGAATCTTCACCTACGAGAGAATCAGCTGCCCAAATACGCGAGTCCCAACCTTCGCCTGCCTGAGGCACTCTACTTCGATCCTCTGGCTACCGAAGCAGTGTCAAGCTTGCATGGACCTGCCGGGGGTTGCCACTTGGATGAGTCTACATGATGATGCACTCTGGCCAGCCGGGTGATACACTCCCATTGAATCTCAATGTTTCACTACACATCCGACGGACCATTACAAGTGTATCCTACCTTTGGGTGACGGAGAGAAACAAAGCGCCGCCCAGGCTTAGCCAGATTCAAGATGTGGCCTTTGCCTTCCAGCTCCTTAGCATTCCTTAGCCGCATGCCTTGCCACGTGCACCCATTGCATCGCACCGCGTTTCCAACGCCCACCACGACCATTTTTCTCGCCTCTCGTCGCCAGGCAGTGGTTCCCCAGCCGCGTCCTGGTTCTGGGCGGTGGAGCGCTGAGCGGCAGCAAATCCTCGGAGCTCTTCGATGGCTCTTGGCGAAGCCTCGCAGAGATGGCCGTCAGCCGGGCCTTCGGGGCAGCTCTCTGTACACGAGATGGCCGTGTCTTGGTGATGGGTGGCAAGGCCTGGGACAGTTGAAATAACATGCCTGCTGAAATGACACTAAACTCAAGCGACAATATGTACAACATTACTCAGGATACGGGCATAGTTGGATCATGTTACATAAAGGTGCATACACATAAACCATATTCAATCACGTCCTGCTTTTTCATCAACATACAGATTGGGCAACTTCCCTTGAAATCTTGTGTATTCTTGCGCTAGAGGACGGGGACACCATCCTGGATTCAGTGGAGGAGTGCGCCGGTTTGGTGTCCACACTGATTTACCCAGAGCTTGCTCAAATATATTGTAAGGGCTACGCCCCGTGCCGCCGACCCCAGCGAGGGGGAGAAGGGTCGTGGTTTCATGTCATCTGGAAATGGAGTAAATAAGACGCCCGCTGAATAAGTGGGACGTGCTGCACAAGCACTGTCTTATTTACTCCATTTCCAGATGACATGAAACCCACGCACACACTAAGGCACAGGCGGGGAAAAAACTAAGTAAGACACGGCGCCCGCTGCATAAGTGGGATGCGCTGTACAAGCGCCGCCTTTTTTTGGGGGGGGAATCGGAATGGGTGAACGCGATCGTGCATGAGCTCTCATGGCCCCGCACTCAAGACAAGCAGAGAAACTAAGGTCACTAAGGTGAACTAGACTCAACTGAGTTCCTTGGGGTTGGTACCGGCGACGAGTCGTAGACTTGTTCGGGTGGAGGAGTCTTTTGCCGTACTTGTCAGGTGAGGGTTGTTAGATTTTATGTGAGCTGCCTTTCTTCTCCTTCTCCTCCGCTTCGTCCTCCTCCTCGTGCGCGTCGTGTTCAACCGCCAGCCAAAACGCACAACATGCAGCCACAAAAACAAAACAGAGTACAGAACCAACGAAGCACAGCCACGATACAGAAGCACAAACAAACGAACCACGAACTCAAGCACAAACGCAACCACAGCCACGATCACAAACGCAACTAGAAACACAATCACAAACACACAGCTACAATCACAAGTCACAAACACACAGCCACAACGCTCAAACACAACCAACACACAAGGATAACAATATATATGATTACCTGTGTGGGTGACATTTTGCGTGGCCGGTGGTCACAGGGTAGCACTGGTGGATGCCAACTGGAGACCCTGGCGGCACCCCAGCGCGAACTCCCTAACACAAAAAGAGCAATGCGAAACCCCGACAAGATCGAACACCACAAAGCTCACGACCATGGCAACATGTACGTCACCAAGGCGCTTGGGCCCTACTATTATCAAACAAGCTTCAGGGGAATCCGTGGCAACCCGCCTCCACAGTTCTAAGAACATCTCCACGTTGACAAGTTCTTTGCTCGAATTAGCAGTGCTTTGTGGGTTGTTGTTCGACTCTCCCAGCAGACCGTTGACATGGTGCTGTGCAAATACCAAAAGAAGAACGCGCAGAAGACGAGAGGCAAGAAATAGCTCAGAGGGACCGTTGCGGACCACGAGAAAAAGGGACATAGTGTGCCAAAGCCCAGCAAGTGGCAAGAGCCCATGCACAGTCTAGCAAGTGCGAGGTATTGGAGCGTCTCCAGCGTCCAGAAGCTGGACCAAAAAAAACATTTTGGAGCAGCCTCGAGCAAGCCCCTTCTGGCAAGTTTCGAGGCTTTTGAGGGGTTTGAGGGGTTTGAAGGGCAGGCCCCGATGTCTAACGTCGCTTTCGGATCCCGTAAAAGAACATTTTGGAGCAGCCTCGAGCAAGCCCCTTCTGGCAAGTTTCGAGGCTTTTGAGGGGTTTGCGGGGTTTGACGGGCAGGCCCAGATGTCTCACGTCGCTTTCGGATCCCGTAAAAAAACATTTTGGAGCAGCCTCGAGCAAGCCCCTTCTGGCAAGTTTCGAGGCTTTTGAGGGATTTGAGGGGTTTGCGGGGTTTGACGGGCAGGCCCAGATGTCTCACGTCGCTTTCGGATCCCGTAAAAAAACATTTTGGAGCAGCCTCGAGCAAGCCCCTTCTGGCAAGTTTCGAGGCTTTTGAGAGATTTGAGGGGTTTGAGGGGTTTGAAGGGCTTTGAGGGGTTTGAAGGGCAGGCCCCGATGTCTAACGTCGCTTTTGGATCCCGTAAAAAAGCAAAAACATTTTGAAGCAGCCTCGAGGTTTGAGGGGTTTGAAGGGCCCAGGTGTCTAACGTCGCTTTCGGATCCCGTAAAAAAACATTTTGGAGCAGCCTCGAGCAAACCCCTTCTGGCAAGTTTCGAGGCTTTTGAGGGATTTGAGGGGTTTGAGGGGTTTGAAGGGCAGGCCTAGATGTCTAACGTCGCTTTCGGATCCCGTAAAAAAACAAAAACATTTTGCAGCAGCCTCGAGCAAGCCCCTTCTGGCAAGTTTCGAGGCTTTTGAGAAATTTCGAGGCTTTTGAGGGATTTGAGGGGTTTGAGGGGTTTGAAGAGCAGGCCCACCAAGCATCCAAAAATCATCGAAAAACATTTCCTCCCCTCAACACCATACTCGTCCCCTCCCTCCAAAGCTCCCAGAAATCGGCCAGTATCTGGGGCGCCATCTCCGGGGCCGCTCCGTGCGCCCCCACACAGCAAGACCATGCTCGAACCCTCCACACCCTGAGCACTCGTACCTTCTCTCACGCGCTCCCCTTGCAGTCGCAAGGGGTCGGCGGATATAGTCCTGGTCCTGGTGGTTCCTGGGGCCTGGATGCCGACAAGTCCAGAGCTAGAAAAGCGAATGATCTATGATCTATATATATAATAAAGGCTCTATCTTCTGGATCACCTACGGATCTCCATGGATCTAAGATTGTCCAGGTGCAATCGCCAGATGATGAGCTTTCCTCTTTTGACAACTTCGAATGCCCAACAGGTACGACCTTGACAGAAACCTTTGGCAAACGGTGCCAGGCCCTAAGAACAGTGGTTTCCTTGCAAAATAATTCAGATCTGAAGCCAGCTGCAAATCTGTCACTCAGGGCGCCAATGCAGCATGCACGTTGGGGTGCCACTGCCGTGGAATTCCAGAACGAGGTGGCCAGGATGATGGGATTTTTCTTATTTGTTTGGTTTTGGCAACAGGCAGGGGAGAAGCCAGATCAAGTTTCAAGTTTGCTCTCCGAGCCACTGGGCTCACGAATTGTAAGGAAGTCCCTGATTGGGGTCGATTAAATGCCACTGGCCAGGTCTATGTCATCGGTGGTCGGGGCATCTCATCGCCTGTCCTTCAGTGTGAGAGATTATCCAGGCGGATGTTCAACTTGCACAGTGAGATTTGAAACTAGCAGTGAGTATGAGTGAGTCACGGAATGACTGATCCCATCTCGTGTGACAACAGTAAAGTGTATATATAGAAGTAAAACAGGAAATCTGGGTGCATTGGGAACTAAAAAGCCCAAAAGAGCTGGCCACTGCCATTCTAAGCGAAGATGGAACATGGCCTCCTGGTGCAGGTCCAAGTGGCAATTAGCATCTTGGCGTCATGACGCGACCCCGCAGCTGTGATGTTGGGACTGGGGCATTGCCACCAAGTTGGTTGTAAAGCATGACTGCTTCTCAACAATGTGGTTTGGGCATGTATCAGCATCAGGCTGCGATCGGAGATGGCTTACTATTGCAGTCCAGGCACAACATACATACCTACATGCATATCTACATTCCAGTACATACCTACATACATGCACACATGCACCATGCATACATAATGACACACGCGCTCACACACACATGTGTATTAGACATATATATATACATATACCTACATATAGTTATATTTTTACATTTGCACATACACACGTAGTACTACATACTGTAATAGAATAAATGCATTTATGTCTCAAGCTTGAACATGAAGCGGATCGCCACATCACTTTCTTGCAAATCTGCTGGTCGACACAGTCACTCCGAATACGTCACGTACGTACCTTTGCACAGATATATATATATACACATATATATACATATAGTTTTTGTTTACAGATACGCATGCAATGAGAATGCATTTGTACACCTATACTTAGATGAGCAAGAGAGCTTGTGCACACAGGAGTCTCGCGAGTTGCACATCTATCCCGCATTCTTGTTGAGGCACCATCTTTGATTGAGCCGCGAATCTCGGCGACTGCGGCCGTGTGGGCCTTGAATCGGAGCCAGATCGAAACGAAGGATAGTCTGTAAACCAGCATTTTTAAGGATACTGGCCTGTAATTATTGACAAAATCTGAGTTTTGCAAAGGTTTGCATTTAGGACATTTAGGCCTTATAGCTCTCCTTCAAACTTTTAGGCCGACCCTAGAGAACGTGACAATGAAGTTCAAACTTTCCGCGGACGGCATGCAGGGATTGGAGCAGCCTGGGTAGAGTCAAAAGCAAGCATCGAACATCTGGATGCATTTGGATTATGTCATGTGACTTGAAGAGTCATCGACTTACTCTGCATGGAGGGTTCCATTGAGATGTCCATTTGTTGGTTTGTGAGGGGCACAACCAGTGTTCCTAAGCTTTTTAGAGTCATGTCTTTTTTTCCACACTAGCTTTTGAGACTGTTTTGTAATATTTTGCCGTCTGGCCTGCCCAAGGTCTCAAACCTTGCAAAGTACTAAAGCTCAGGTTCTGGGGGGCGACCTCTTTGTGCTCGGAGGCGGGGTGGCCAAGACAAGAGGATACCATTACACCATCTGACATGAATGTGTACCCTCATTTGCATGGCAGAGAGGTTGAATGGCTCCAGATCTCAGATGTTTGGGAGAAGTTTGATGAAGATTGATGAAGTTTGTATACTTATAGCTGTTGCTGCACTTCACAGCATGGTGCTTTGTACAACCTTCGGTTGTTTGCAAGGTAAGTGCAGCTTGAATCGACCAGGGCACTTTGGAATCGACATGCTATTTTTATATAGTGGTGAGCCATTGACATTGTTTCCATTTTCTCCCCTTAAAAAGACACTTGCTCATGCTCTTTATGAGAGACAAACGCCTTGGCTCAACGTGGCCAACGCTAGCATGATTCGGTGAGAGCAAGGCTGGCTTTTTGAAAGACATGTGCTCGAGAAGTCAGGCTGCTGCTATACATCTATCATGCCCGCCATATATTATTGACGGATGCTTCGCAAGAGCGTTGGAAGGGAAGCAAACCCGGGTTACAAGCTGCCGCTATGTGCTGCTTGAATCATTGGACTCCTGGTGCCGCAGAGCCATTTGGTAGCACTCCTTTGGCTGCATACTTGCACATGGAAGGGCACAGCCGTAGAATATTAGATATTTTAGATATTGCTGCCCTCTTTTTGCAACACCTGTGGCCTGTTTCACTGACAAGAACCTCTACAGATCAGATACCTGGTACTACGAAGATTCAGATTTGCTCCAGAAAGAGTGATAGGGCACGGCATGGTCTTACTAATAGATTACAACCCACCATTGTATCTATTCCAGCCGGCTCGGCCTTGGAACCATCTGCGCCTCTGCCATGGGGAAGCTCAGAAACAGCTTCGTAGCAAACTTCTTAGCAGTCACTTCACTGACTGCTGCAGGCAAAGATCTGGCTGAATGGACTTCTGCTGGGTGGTGTCTTAGCTAGCTCATAGCAAGCGTATGTTGGCACAACGGTCTTTGCACAGTACACTGGCAATTTACAACCGCGGTCGGACATAAAGGAGATGAAGTCCCTCATCCTCATACTGGAGTGCAGTTTCTAGAAACAGTTTCTGAATCTGTCAAAAATTGGATCGCAAGCCCGGTTCATAATTACATGTGTTGGAGGGCATGTTTGTTGCCAAGCAACAGCCCACTTGACAAGAATAGGTTCGGTCAATTTGGGTCAATAGGATTTGCCCAAAGGCCAGCTTGCTGTTGTCGTATCCTTCTCAGGCATTTACGTGTGATGCAAGATTGTTGTGCTGGGATGGCCCCTGAGCAATCAAAGATACGCAACACCCTCGAAATCTCCGGCAGCAAGCTGCATGGCTTACGGGCCATTTTCTTACTCCTTCCTGCGCTAAGATCGTCAAGAGGTTTTAATACACGGGCATGTATGGCTAGTTTCAGGGCTGCATTGAATGACTCGTGAATTTGGAGGACTGGCGATCAATAGTAGTTTGCTTGGCAAATTGACCTGCTTGAGGTATGTGCAGAATGACGACGTGATGGGTGGGCGGTCCAATTCAAACCTGAAGCTGAGTGGAAGTGGTGCAGAGTCTTGCTCATGAAGGGGGGCAGACTGTGTATAGTGTATATATAGATCGTTATAGATACTGTATGTAGGCGTCAATCATTGACAATCAACCCCTTTGCAGCGTACACTTCAGTTAATTCAGTTCAAATCTGTAGTGAGAGGGGTGTCGTCGAGAACTGAGTTGCTCAATGTGTCACGTGCGCGCTTTGAACATAGAAGCGGGATATCATGTGATGTTTACGCTTTCTTTGTGTGTGATGATGAGGAATTTGAGGGGAGCATCAACATGAATGGTGCCTTGTCAGATGTTGGCAGTCTCAAGAGTCTGCCAGGCTTGTCTCTATTTCTTCCGTTTCTTTGCCCGCCCCTCTTCTTGGCCTTTGTTAGGTGGTGGCTTTGCTTCCTTTCGAAGGAACTTTGGTCCATGGGGTGAGAGAGATCTGGCTCAATATTCAGGGCTTTGGGTGGAGACGGATGTTGTGACTGAGCAGCCTTTGTTCCTGGGCAGCCTCAGTAAGCTTGCATTGTTTTCTTCTTTTGTGGGGGTGGGGCCCGGGTGGGGCCCTTGTCATACACTGGCCTCAGGTATTTGAGCTTAAGGCTTAAATCATTCTGGAGTCATTCTTGCTGAGCACAGCACGCTTGAGGTTTCATGCCCCATTTGCAGTTCATATCCAGTTGGGCGATCCTTCTCGCTATGATCATGGAGCAGCATTTGCGATTCCCTCAGGTCCTGCCGGATCAACATACTCAGTGTTTCTTCCCTTCGGGTGGTTCACGAAACAGCTCCGTTGGAGCTGCAGGGGATGCACACTTGACACGGGGCGAATCAATGATCTCTCTGTGTGCCTGGGACGGTTAGAATGCCCCGTTGTTCAAGCGGGTTATCATGGCTCGAACAGGTTATCATGGTTCTGTTGCATGTGTTGCCAAATCCTCCCGGCCGAGGTATGCCCTTTACCAGGAAGGCCCGTTCAAGTTCAAGATTCGTCAGATTCGTGCTGTACGAGACTCTGAAGTGCCGGCTTTTGGGCAAGTGCCCGCATTAGTCCTATCAGATGCCAAAGCATGGATGCTGGTCAAAGCAACCTGCATCAATCTTTTGATTTCCACATGATGGCATGCTTTCTGCGTATGTATATATATATATACACGTTAATGTGGACGCGATATAGTGTGTATACATATCTATATACATTATATATATATGCTGTCACATACCGTTACCTACGTGTTTGTGTTTTGCATTTAGTGTGGTGAGCACAACAAATAGAGAGATAAGATCCCTGCTTGTGAGCTTCTGGGGGTCCGCCGGCCCCCGCCACCCTGCGACAATCCTGCTTTCCATGCTCATCCTTGCCCAGGCAACTGTTGAGCGTGGGTCGACACTTTGGAACAAAGGCAATCCTGAACTGTGCGGTGCTATGTACAGTATGACGGTGTCTTGGTTGGTGAAGCCACGTCAAACGTATGAGCCCAAGGCTCTTCAGTTAACTAAATTTACGCACCCCAGTGATGAGTTTGCAATCTCAACTTTATTTCCCTTCTCTGAGCTTGTGCACTGAGGCCAAGACCCTCACTACTGCCAGCAACATCTCGAGTAGTGTCCAGGAGATTTCCCGGGTGGCAATGGCTTCGGCTGAGCGCTATCCTGTGACTTAACGGGTCGTAAACGAAGCTTCTTAGGCCCCCAATGCGGATCTCAAAGTCACATGGGGCATGAACATGTGCCTTTTGAGGGGGCCCTTTCTTGCACATTCTAGGTGAATCTGGGAGGAGACGCTGCCTGGATTTATCGCAAAGCCTTCGACCACATTTTGGCCGCCTATGAAGGAGTGAGTTTTCCAAGTGATGACAGGTACCCGGCTGTTGCGCATGGCGATTGGGCTGCAACAGCCATGGGCAGCGACCAAGTTCCTCAGCTTTCCACCACTTCGCTGGATAGAGACATGGAGCAGCAACTCGCCCTGAACTCCGCAGGGCAGAAAAGCTTGAAAGGACTTGGCTTTATTTTTGTGATGCTTGTGGTTGGGAATGCCCAATCTTGCTGGTCTTGAAGCACCGAGCTTCAATGTTGAACAAAAGAAGAACGATAGCTGAGATCTCTGATAAAATACTGCTATAGAAATCCATTGGAATGCACCAGTCTTAGTCGTTTGCAGCAGCTCGAGAGCAGAACTCTTGCTGCTCAGTTTGTGCTGTTTTTTGGCGCCCACTTGCAATGCAAGAGCTGCGCAATCTTCAATTCAACACCTGTTTCGCTTATTGCATTGTGACATTCTGCAACACTTGAGATGTTCGCAATGCATGCTGTCTTCGGTGCCGGCTAGTCCTTGGCACCACACTGACCAATGCAAGCGCGTGTGTTTGCATGGGAAAACCCGCAAACATGTCGCACACTAACCTTTCATTCTGGTTCTCGTAAGACGGTTATAAAGACTAGGGGGCGGGGAGTTCTGGTTTGCAAGGTTACTACACACTCTGACATTGGTTTTCAGTTAATCTATTCCCAAGTGGAAAAAAGGTGAGGGAACGGAAAGGTGGAAGAGTCCGCAAAACAGTATTGTTCAACAGAAGGTTACGCGTGACTGCAGAACACTAGTTACTGAATACTTAGCAGACCTAGGAAAGGCGAAAGGCGAAAAGTCCGAGTACTTGAAGGTGTTTTAACAAAGGTTGACGTGACTGCAGAAAACTAGTTACTGATTACTTAGCAGACTGAATTCACGCCGTGCAAGGAAACCTGTTTTGGGGGATATCATGCGAAGAGCCACCATGGAAACAAACCAACAGCGGCAAGGGAAACCAGTGCTCAACTCAGGCTAAAGGCTCGTTGGGCTCATAACTACATCGGTTTGACATGTGTTGAGTCTGTGAAGAACTTCACGGGGACTTGTTCAGCAACGGAAAGAAGAACTATCACAGGGTACTGATATAAGATGATATATATATAGGTCGATTAAATGACACACCACACCCGTAAGAAGCCAGACCTTCCAAGTTGCCATTTAACGGGGTCGCTTATGGTCCTGGCAGGTGGCGGAAGTGCTTTGACTGCCGAACGCTTGGACCTCGAGGCAGCTCATTGTCCGGTGAGTGAATCAGCAGCTTGAACTTATGGAAGATACTCAAAGACATGCTTCTGCCAGTGCGTTGCTACAGTATGCTACAGTACTTTATGTGAGGATTGTGCCCAGACTCGATGTGCTGATGACATAGCTGTAGCACGTTTCTCTCCTGCAGAGGCAGGCCGATGGACCATCGAACCTCTACCAACGCAGGCTGGATGGAGAAGTGGAAGATGCTGATTTTTAAAATCTATATCCTCCCAAAGGACTTGGACAGATCCAGACACTGTTGGCGCATTCTTTTGGGTCCTTGGTGAGTTGAGATGCCCTCAGCCCTTCAAGGAGATGTAGTCAAAGATTCCTCAAACATCCTCAAACATGAAATGATTGGACTGGAGGTGCAGATATATGATGATATGATATATTCGACGAGGTATTACAACTTCCCAGAGAGGCAGGCCTCTCTACGGTTGACAGACGGCACGTGGACTGGGAGTTTAGGAGTTTGGTGCTTTGTGCCTCCGATTGAGGTGCCCGTTCGCCTGGCTTCCACCATGGCCGCCTGAATGCACACAGTGCAAGAAGCTGGTCTAAGCTGGTCTTCCCATCGGACGACAACCATGTCGGCCCAGCGGCCTTGAAATCAACGGCAGATGTAGCTCGAGCTAAGGCGTGGAGTCACTCCCAGGGCTTGGCCTGAAGCCCTAGCCGCCGAGAACTGATGTGCCAATTGTCCACTGCCCAAAGGCATCAGACTTATTCAAGAGAACAATACAACCGGACGAACAGCCACATACTTCAGGGGTTACACTGTTCTTCCACATTCCTTCAGGGGTGACCTAGTTGCTATACGAGGCAACTTCCCCACAATAAGTTGCTCGCTTCAAGGTCTCCATTGGTGGAGCCTCAGCAGGATCCCCTGGCACTGCTCTCGCCAGGAATGAGTGCCCGGGTGCCAGGGTGACGCATCCGATTTCAAACTCCCTAACCAGGCGTAGCAAATTCCGTGCAGTGCAGTGCAGATGCTCACCCCTGCGAAATTGCACGGACACTTCAGGCTTGGTGGTGCGCTTCGGGCAGGCGGGGGTATGTTGCCCCCAACTGAGCAGCTTCGGAGTGAGGGGACATAACGGACACCGTGCAGGCAGTTATGCAATGTTATGCACATGGCTCGTGATTGCAGTGGAGAATATATATATATATAAGACATATGAAATACGGAGAACATATTTGGATTTAATTTAGATTCATGTGTTTGAGCATGTTTTGCTCAAATTCCCAGTTCGGCATGTTCTAACCGCATGGGTAAGAACATTACAGATGTCCTAAGCGTATGGGATTGAGATGGGTTGAGGAGGTTCTGATCCCAGACTTAGAGCATGCAAAGTTGCACTTTTGCCTGCGGGCGCGGAACGGTCATAGGTTCGGAGCCCGCAAAGCCAACCAAAAACCAAGCTAGCGTCGCTTTGACAAGCCTTGCCGGCGGTCCCAAAAACCAAACAGCGAGGCGGTCCTGGTTTTGGGACCGTTCACTCATCAATTAAAGCCGTAGTTAATAGAAAGGGCTAACGCCCTGGTGCCGCCGACCCCAGTCAGTGGGCCAGAATGGGGGCCCTAACGTCGCCTTCGGAACCCCATAGAAAGAGAACAGTCCAGGGCAAGCCCCAGGTAGCTGCAGGTGTGCTCCGGACGCTGCAAGACCGCGACCACGCCAAAAGCTCGGTCTCGCCACAGCAAAACACCCTGGCCCTGGAGGTTTGAACTGTCAGTGCCCGCACAGAAGGCTTTGACAGAGAGCAGAAGGGCCAGAGCAGGCAGGTGGCAATCGTTCTCGCTACGCTGTCCCAGGTGCCGCCCCGCCTAGGTGTCAGCTAGGCAGGGGTCGGCGGATTTAAATCAATTAAATCAAGTTGTGCGGCCCCATTTTGGTACTGCCAGGCTTCAAGATTCTGCTTTTCAGTACGCCAACGCACCAACGTGCCAAAGCTTCTAATTCTGCCCGCTTGCCTGCTTGCGCACCAACACGTGCCTCCACGGCAGAACAAGGCCCTGCTGCACATAGAACATGGGAAAAGACAAACATGAGACACCATCAGCCTTTTGAAAATGCACACGTTTGTGCGTGTTTAATTCCCGATTCAATTTCCACTAGGGAATGACCGGTCCTGAGGCCACAAGAAAACCACTTGGCCGTGAGACATGGCAAATAGATATAGATCTTGAAAGGGCTCAAAGAGGACTTGTGTTCTGCTTTGGTGCGTGAAAAGGATCCGCGACTATCAGTGTGTCTTGTCCATCTAGAATGTTGACAGGCGTGGTGGCGCTCTGGTTGCTAATAGTGAAATTTTTGATGTTCTATAGCCGATGTTCTAAGTATATGAAGACTTTCAGGTTTTGGAAAGGCTTGAGTATATCTCTATGTTTGACGCATTGAAGCGGATGTTTATGGCTTGTTCAAGGTGGCTTGCCTCATCCATAAGAATCATGAACCCATGTGGTTTTCTTAGGGATGGTCTTCTTTCTGGCCGCCTGGCCGGCGAGCCACACAGGCCAGCTGGGTGCAACTTCCCAGTTGGAGGACTGTGGTGCTGTGCGGAGATTGCAGCGACAACGTCCCAGGGGTGATGCGATCCGTCAGGATTCCCCGACTCTCCCCAGCAGTGGCGGTGTCTGAGGAGGTGCCGGGCACGGTCAAGTCACAGGATTCACCTGTTGCCAGGCTTCTTGCAGGGGTTGCCCACGTTGGAGACAAGGGCAAATACAATCCTTCCCAAACATACCGATCACATCCTATCACACCTTTTGCGCACATGATGACGAGAAGATGTCTTGCTCAAAGCAATTTTCTTGAGTGTGGCTTCATGGTTCATCCCAGCAGCACTGGGACAGACAAGTATGATAGGGCATTTGAGTGTGATGGAGCGAGAGAGGGGGAGAGGCAGCCATTGAAAATTGCAGAAGTTTCTAGCATTCCTTCTTCTCCCGCCATGTGGCTTCAGATCTATTGTCACCGTGTCCAGTGTCGATCTGCACTTCTTGTGATGATGCAAGAGCGCAATCGCGTTGCTCAGGGTGACATCTATGTTATGGGTGGCAGGCACAACAAGGAGGCGAGATACCGCTTTCACTTGCATCCCTGACTGTCACGCGCATGGTCCCACGCAGCCCACCATCAAGCTCAATGCCCCGGGTTTGCTCACCGTAGACCTTCAAAGCTATGCCTTGGACTGAATACACGGTCGTCCTTTTAAAGTCATCGATTGGCGCATCGATGCCCCCTTCTGTCGCACATGACGTAAATTCATTGTTGTTTGAGGGCTTGATGGATGCAATCGTGTCACGAACTGTCATGATCATGTCGGGGCGCTTCATTTTGCGGACAGAACTGAGACGCAGTAGGAACTTATATATATATATATTATATACGTTTTTCCATTTCCCTTGTTCTCATGAGGCCTTTTTCTTTAAATTTGCATTTCTCGCCCTTGCTGGATGCATACATCTGCTCCACTTGTGGTGCTTGCATGTGCTTGCCATGTCTGGTTCCACTGCTGCTGGTTTCCCTTGTGCACACTTTTTCCTTTTCCTGTGCCATGGCTCCGATGTCCATTCGGGCCGGTCCGTTTGGGTTCTCTTTTGGTTTCACACTGTCCACCTGGCGGTCTTTTCCACAAGTTTTGTGCACTAAGGCACTAAGGTGCTCAATATGTGTCCGAACCTTGACGAGTCCACCGAGTTAGCATGAAAATGGATTGCAGTTTGTTTGTGGCAACATGGGCCAACACATATAAACTGTAATATTATGTAATTATGTATTTTTAAATAGCTATATACACAAAACTAGTATTTTTTTTGTTTTTGTCCATTGATTTCTTGAACTGTTGCTTGTGCTTTCAGGCTTTGCACCACGACGTCCAGTGCTCACTGCAAGTGATCAAACACAAGAAGTAGTGACTCACACCTCACCCCAAAACAAGGCTCGTACAAGTTCAAGTAACTGCTTGCCTTTTCACAAGCACCACGGCTGTAACACGTCCGCGAAACTGCGCTAAAGTGATGGCACTCAAGCGGTATTCCCCACAGTTGAGAGATGCTACCCTCGCTTCTCACATTTTGGCTGTGTCGTGTTGGTACCAAGACGGCGTACGCTGTAGAATTGTACCCCACTGTGAGCGCCGTGCTTCCTGCGCTCACACTGCCTCTTGTAGAACTGAACCGTGTTGACTCGGCACAGACTGCTTCCACGTGGCTTGCTCTCAGTGTGTCGCTCACTGCACGACGCGCTTCGGCGCAAAGGTGGCTCCTCCTCGCTGTTTGACCGGGAGTTCTTGGGACTTCTGCAGCAACACTTGGTAGTTCTTTTCCACACGCGCCTGCACATGACTGACTGTACACTTCTTCTTGTTGACGAGGTGGACTCAGGGGACACCTCAACCTAGCCTGTGCTGCCAAGAACTCCGTGTAGTTGTGGCCACTGCTTGATGAAGCTGCCTCGCTTTGCGCTGGTAGTAGTACTGTTGGCGTGTGCGGTGTCCGGCGAGTTCCAAAGAAACCGTGTTCTGTTCCTTCTCCTTTGGTGTCTTCATGTGTCTTCAACTGTTCTTCGCAGCGCTTTGCTATTCAACTGTGGTCAACTGTTGTTCGTGAGCTCTTTTTCTCCACTGCGGCGGTGCCCCTTTTTCTTGTCTTGCCTCCGCCCTTGCCGTCAACTACGGCGCACTGCAGACGGAGTTACCCACTGCCACCAAGAATGGGCGTTTCCCGCCTGCGAAGCTGATCGGCCCGTAGACAACCAGCTCCGACTCCGCTACCACGTGAAGTAGTCACACCTTGTCTACTTGAACCACAGGGCCGTGCATATTGGGCTCTCAGACACTGTGCGGCACAAGTAATTAGTACAAGTGTTCCAACCTAGTCACTTGGGACTTAGGACCTAGACTCAGCAAAAGGGATTTTCTTTCATGGAGGGTCATGTCGCAATGTAGCATGAGGAGCAAGAGGTCCTTCTCGGATGTTCCGAGGTCACCAGGTCTGAGATGATATCAGATTTATGCTGGTTTTTAGTAATCACTTCAGTCCTCTGTGTGCAGAAACTGGCATCACTGTAGCAGCAAGACCGTAGTCCCCTACAGTTTCCTGATGATTGTCCTTTTGGTTAAGCTTGGCATATCTTGGCAACTTTGTGTACGGTGTAGCTACAGGAAGGCAATTTCTGGGTCTTGTGCTGTTCGGTCGGAATGGTGCTACCAGCAGGCCTGTGCCTTGGCAGACGTGTGGGTTCCTGAGACCAAAAGCTGGCGAGCCATAGCCTCAGCAGCTTCGAAAGTGGGAAACATGCAAGTAGATCAGCGTTGCGTTGCAACATTTTACGGACTCGCCCAGGAGATGCCACCCATGCTGCAGACACGTGATGGGGCTGCTTGTGTGATAGTACGGTGAAAGCCAGCAAAAGGATGTGGTTCGAGTTTGATCCAAAAGTTATATAGGCTGGAACGGTATGCCTCGATGTGCGTTATGAGTGTTAGGTAATTCATCTTCTTGATATGATCTTGCGCCATTGCGTTTTGTCACATCAATGCAATTGGGAGGGTTTATTGACGCGAGCTCCAACCCGCTTACCCACACCCTCAGCCAGCCCTCCTCACACTCAGCTCAACAAGCAGCAACATCTTAACCGTCAAGTACTGGCTTTGTGAGATTTAGCTTGATATTTGACAGCCCTGATTCAAACTTTTGACAACCTCTTCACCAAAGACAATTGAAATTGCCAGTGGCCGCATGGCTTGGATACTGCGGGCCTTCAAAGCCATTGTTCTGGTCCTTGTGGCTGATGCAGTCCCAGGGGGGCCATTGAGGTTGGAACATGCGAAGGCGAGACCGTTTCTGGGTGGCGTGGGTCCTGGTATCAAAGCTAGACATACTATATATATATATATAGATTGTAGCCGCTCTGCGGGTATATATATATATATATAAAGTTTTTTTTTAAGATTTTTTTTCCTCTTCTTTGGTCCAGCCACCAGTTGTTGGGTAGACAGTCACATTTGTTCTTAGGGCATCCTGAGGCATTTTAGTCTTACACTGGCATATACCTGGACCAACTTTCCTTCAGATGCTGTGTTGCAAGCCCGTTCTTTCGAACCGGCTCCGCAGTCCTGATCCCGACATGCTCGTGGCCCTTTTTGACCCGTTTGGTGTTTGTGAAGCCGCTGTTTCATGACTCTCAACTAACAGTGCTTCAGGTCCCGAGCTTTCTGAACAGCAGTGCTTTGTCCAAAGCATGGCTCTCCGATGCACTGCGGCGGCGAGCCCTTTTTGGGAAGGTCCCGGAGGCGCTTGGCAACTGGTGACAAGGTCTTTCGAGGCACAGGTCACTCAAGGATAGCAGTGAGGGATAAGTTGATTGGACAGAGTTCTGACGGGACCGAGGGGCGAGTCTTTGGAAGGACGACCAATGGGTTCCAAAAGGGTCTCCCAACAGCCAAAATTGAGGAAGGAAACGTGAGTTGTGGAGTGCCCTTCTTCCGGCCATGAACAGGAAACCCAGAGCTTTCCATAGTTAGTCGTGAATGTTGACGCGTGCTGGGGCTTGCGGCTTGCGCGAGGCTCAGGAAACTATTAGCAGATCCCATTTGGAGCTCGAGCAGCTGGGAGGCAGTTTGCACCTTGGCAAGAGTAAGAGGCGATTAGACGAGCTGTGAGCCCAGTGGCCACCTTAAATAGGGAGTGCACACCGTGAAGTACCGTGTGTAGATGCAGCCTCCCACCACAACTCGACCAACCATTCCAACATTTTACTGTTGATAATTTGGACTTGCTTTGCAGGCCAAGTTCAGGCTCTGCCATTGTGCTCTATGCGGCGCACGATGCCAGCATCACTATCAGCAACTCAGAGAGGGAAACCTCTTGACCTTGCCGATCAACCCCGCCAACAACAGAATTACTTATTTGCTTGTTGAGGCATGATGCAGGCTCGACGTGTCATGGTTTCTCCCATGGCTACCAAGTTGATCATGCAAGGACAGGAGGATATGTAAATGTGGATGACATGGTGAGATGCGCACAGGCGAGACGCCGTAAAGGACAGATCGATTGTACTAGTGCCATCTCGTGACATTCTTGTGACTGAATCTCCCGGCCGTACTTTGTAACTAGAACCCCTGGACTTTGCGGTCTGTGAGCGTGGGTGTAAGCAGGGCGTTCATTGGTAGCCCGCTTCGCGTCAGCTTTGGCTCCCCAGCATGTCTTCAGAGCCTCAATTTGGGGTGATATTCTTGAAGGATGGTTAGTCCTGGAAACTCAGATGCCCGAAGACGTTGTGTTTTGAGTCTATTGCGCATATTTCTTTAAGGGGGGGTTTGGCTACGTACGTAACAATCAAGATCTAGACAAATTTTTAAACAGTTCTGGCCGGTGTTTTCATAGTCCGGCGGCTAGCTTCCAAGATTCCAAGCTTGTAAGTAATGAGGATTGCCGTTGAACACCTGAGTGACCAAGGACAGGCTGAGTCCTTTTCTCCTCCTGAACACCGGGATCGCATCTTCGCTCTGATCCTCATGGGCACCTTGTGCGGACAGATGGGCTTGTCGATCCTGACTCCTTTCTTCCCGGCTGAAGCCAAAGCAAAGAGAGTCAGTCCGCCAACCTTGGGGTGGATCTTCAGCGTCTTTCAACTTGCCACGATGGTCTTCGCCCCATTAGCTAGCCGCTTGCTGGTGAAGTTCGGTTCAAAACCGATGCTGGTGGCAAGCAACTTGATTGGAGGTGTGGCCAACATTATGCAAGCATTCTGCTGGTATGCCAATGAGGGCCCATTCTTTGTCACTGCATCTTTGGTGCTCCGAGTCTTAGCAGGGCTTGCTTACTCTTTTCAGTCCACAGCTGGCTACAGTGCGTCACCATGTGCTGGAAAGATGTTCTTTTGTTGATCTTTGTCGCTTTAAACTCTAAAGGGCTCCAGGCTTAAGAAAGCAAACATTTGTTTTCGCCTTTTCTGTGTTGTTTTTCTTCTCGCACAAGTGACCGCAATCAAGTCCCAGGCTTGCTGTCATCGCTCTTTGGCCCAACGGTCAGCACAGCTGCAGGCAAGCTTGAAGGAGCAAATGGCTTGGCGCTCATCCTTGGCCCACTTGCTCCTAGGATTGAGAGTGGATGAGAGGGTCCGGGTACTGTACATGGAAGATGGAGCCTAGGTGGAGTTGGAAGAGCCGTAGAATTCAAAAGAATGCACTTGCAGCTCAAGCTTGTACGATATTTTTGTGCTGAATGCCGGCAAGTGTTGCACTCGTTCTGCTGCGACCGCGTAAGGTTGGATCAACATTGTTCAGCATTGGAGGTGGCGCGCAACATGTGGGCTATGTCATCCCTTTCCTGGTTTTGGGTCTTTGAATTCAATTGGTGCAAGTTTATTGAATTTAGCATTAGCCTCCTTGCTTGGACCCCTCAATGACTGGGCGAGAACGCAAGCGTCTGTAGGCTGGCCACTTCAGTGTAGGTGACAGTCCAAAATCTGGGAGACGGCTGTGGGTCCTAGGTCTTACAGGTGCGCTTTGTGGTGGGATGAATTGGGTCCTCATGCCGACGTTGCCAACACCCGCGAGGAGTAATCCAAGCTTGTCAAAGTTCTCTCTCAAGGCAGTACCAACGGCCATTAACTGCACGATTCTAGGCATTGTTTTTGGAGTTTCTCGGCTTCACTGGCCGCCCTGGCCTCCTGCAAGACTGCTTTGTCGTGTGTTTATGTGTGTTTTGTGTGAATCAGGATCAAGGCTCAAAATGGATTCAAACGAGGGTCGTGCCTAGCTGAGCTGAGACCCACGCCACAAAGGTCTTGAACCCTACCTTGCAGCCACATTGTGCTGAACAGCCCTTGAAATATGATGTGCAGATTGTGGGCCTTGTTTATGCCACAATTTGTGCGATCTATTCGATGCTTGGGATACTGGTTGGCCGGCTCGATGACCTTTATGAAGGGCGAAACGCCGCTTTAGCAAAAGTTCATGAACTGCTTTTGTTGAAGCCATAGAGCGAGAGATTTGAACATCAAAGAAGGACAGACCAAGTCCTGGAGGAACTGCCACTATCGATTCCGTGGTCTTTTGCACTCTTGCTAGGCACCGAGTGACTTGAGTGTGTGCACATCCAAGGGGTTTTTACTTATGGCGATCGGTGCTTTGCTTATTGCAGTATCCTTCTTCTTACTCGGACCGTTGGAGCTTGCCTTTGGGAGCCACTTTGCGCCTTCGGTCTGGATTGATTCCACTAAAGCTCTCGGACATGAAGCTCACGCCACGTCGAATTCTATGTGGAAGTATTTGCCGTGAATGGTTGGATGGACATGTGTTCGGAATTGTGTATGTTTTAGACACATTCAATATAACTGTACATTACAGTATTGCACCAGTCTTGTATCAGTATGTATTGATGGATTGATCCATGTGCATACAAGAAAAGTGATGAATGTAGACCAATCATTTTGATTCTTTGTGGAACAAGCATTTGAATCCAAGGTGGTTGAGATGAAGCCATCTCCAGCGCTCTTTTGGATTTCAGTGTGCATAATGGGTGCTGGTGCTGCCTTTGGATTCCCAAGCGTTGAAAGAAGCCTTTGGACATTTGTTGTTTGGCTTTGTTTCTTAACAGAAGTAGTCTAACTTAATTTAATACAAGAAAAGAGCAGATGAGTTTGGCTGCTGAACACTCCTCAAGGATGGATCCCGGTCTACAGGCAGTTTGTCACACATGCTTTGCACACGACCAGTGAAGAACGCGATTTGGGAGCTTCCATGATCTACACCATTTCGGTGGCGTTGGGCTCATTCTTGGGCCCCGTGGTGGGGGGCCTGTTGAGCCAACACATAGGGGTTTCGTGGCAGGATGAGGAGCGTTTTTCTGCGTCCTTCTCATAGTTTGTAAGGCATTGAAGATTTTGTGAGACGGTTGCAGGTGGGATGCCTTTGTGATCTTTGTGAAGCGCTGTCTTTGTAAGCCATGGTCTTTGTGCCAGGTTCGTGGCACCTACACGTACACAGGCGTGATGGCACTGATGCTTTTCTTGATGCTGATGCTGCTTGCCATCGGTCAGCGGAGTGAGACATTCAAGAAATCAAGGGATCCTCCTCTCCTCACCTTGCCAGCGCCGGATGACGCTTTGGTGGCTCTGCGCTAGCTCCTTAATGTTCCTTATAATTCGTAATGTTCTTTTTCACCTTCAGCCCGCCCACGTTTCCACATGCCAGGGTGAGAGCTTCGGAAGGAAGCTTTGTTTCAGACCTCCTTTCCCAGTTGCCGAAAGTGCAGTGGGAATTCTTATGTATAGAAGCCACGGGCCTCACGTGGAGAAATCAGGCTTGCAAACAGAAATGACCTTCCCCATACATTGCCACGGCATGCTTACATTCTCGTATTCATTGCTGTGACTTTGTTGGGCAGTGTGCCTGCCGGAGCTGCCTATTCTAGAGCTCTCTGAGAAAATGTTACTTTGATGTTGAAGCGTTTTCTGGAAGTGAAGCGTTTTCCGGAAGTACGAAGTAGGATCGTTTCTAGAGAATCTTATTTCTGGGCTCGGCTCTGCACATTTGACTTCCTGGAAGTAAGAAGTAAGAGATGCTTGCAAATGCTTGCACAGTAGGAGCTTGGATTGATTGCCTTTAGATGCAATACTTGGAAGCCTGGAGAGTTTTCGGGCAAACTACTGTAGTTCGAAGTACTTCCTCCCTGGAACCAAGAACCCAGGTTGCCCGACAGAAGTAGACATGGGTGCAGCATGCAAAAACGATTGATTTTTGGATATAATATATATATATATCACGAAAGCAAGCCGATAGGCTAGGCTGGAGTTGGGATGGGCGAGCGAAGTCGGGGGCAGTGGTCGCACAGAGGGCAATTTTGGAGGGCGAACCCAGAGCCTGGTGGGGGAGAGCGAAAAACGGCGAGCAGAATGGGATTGAACATGTATGTTTTTTGGGGTGTTGTGATGCAAGTGATGTAATTGATGGCTGCGAGTGCATCATTGGCATCATGAGGGGCTTAGGAGGCAATGTAAACCGCCTTCTACCAGGGGTGGGGTTTCATGTCGATGGTAGGAAAGGGAGATGTGGGTCTCTGGTGGCCATTGAACTAGTAATCGGCCGGGAGGTGTGTGTGTGTGTGTGTCAAGCCCTGTCTCTAAGGGCCCTCCCCTTCCTTTTTGGTTTTCACTCTCAAGCAGGGGGCTCACGGGTCTGTTCCTGGCGTGAGCCAACGAAGCTCCAGGTTCAGACTAGGATACTGGGTTGGCCTTTCGGACATTTTCTATTTTTTGCTTTTTTGGGCTAGTGCTGGGCTATAGTTAGATGATATAATAAGTTTAATAGTTAAACTATGGACTGACCACCACTGGACTGACTAGACTGTCTGACTCAAACCACCCTTCACCTTCATACCCTCATGGTTCATACTCAAACCACTGTTCATATCATGATAAGCGTTCTTCCGATTCTGAAATCATTCTGAAGTTGAAGTTATATTATCTCATGGACTATAATGTCACTGTCTGACTTGGACTGTCATCACTTCCATTCACTTCAGTGTCATACTTCGTCATAGCCTGACTTGCCGATCATGGAAGAGCCGGAAGAGCTTGACAAGTACGACGAGAAAGGCGACATTGCCCGGTGTGACTCGAGTCTGACTAGAGCGCTCTAGTATGTAACATGAAAGTGGAATCGGAAGTATTGATATGCGGTAGCAGCCCCATGGTCCCTTGATGGGTTCACCCGCCTGACTTGCCAGGTAGACTGGAGGGAGTTGATCCCTCCAGATTGACTTCAACATCTTCATCCCCATTGTGGTGATTGACAGGCGTGCTTGGTGGGAGGAGGAGGTGGTGTAAATAGTTGACATG